CTGCATCCCAGAATCTTCTTTGGTAGTGTGTGCATTACGCTTTGGTAGTTACCTGCATTTGTGTTAGTTAGATGGAGCATTATGTTTTGGTAGTTATTTGCATTTGGTTTTGTAGTGTTTGCATTATGCTTTGCTAGTTTCTCTGTATTTGTTTTGGTAGTGTTTGTATTGATTTATTTATGCAATGGTATTGTTTTGATTTCACAGTAGTAGTGGTATTGGTTGTTTTGGTATTTGTTTGACTTTTGTAATGGTATACATTGTTTATATTGGTAGTTTTCATGTAATGGTATAGATTTATTTCTGCAATGGTATTGATGTTTTTCAAATTGGTAGTGGTTGTCTAATGGATTGTTAGTGATTTCGTGTTTTTTCTTTTGCAGAAAGATTTAGAAAAATATGGAAAGGAGATCTGGCTGGAGATTACGGAAGTGAGAGGAAGAGAAAGAATTGTAATTAATAGATTTTTTAACTACCTAAAATGTAATTTATTAAAATTAATTAATTAATATAATTTATTTTTACATCCCCAATTTACCCTTAGTAACTGCTTTTATAGTGATCACCGTAACTGCTCCCTAGGATGCGATACACCGGGTCCGCACGTGGTGATATGATGATTTTTTTGAGTTTAACTTGCGAAGGGGGATCCATAAATTCGGTTGCCTCAGTGGTTCGCTTCAGAAAAGTTAAGCCGAAACATAGCAAACTGTAGAGGAACAACGCCAGCTATCCCCAAAGAATCAGTGGTGATCAAGAAAATACAACCGCGGAATGCCCTGGCGTCCCGATCGCCGAAGAAACATTAGTGAAAATGGCAGCGCCTGGCGAGATGGTTGGAGAAGGGGGTAGGGGAGGTTAATTTGCAGCAGAGTGACGTACGTGGGAAGTTACAGAACTTGGCGTCATCTGCATGATGATGTAACTGGGAATATACATTCAGGCTCGTTCTCTTTGGTGTTCTTGGCAGAAGCACATCATTCTTTGTAAGGAGAGCTTTGTTTCCCCTACCAAAAACCCAACGTCATCATGCTCTGTGAATTGGGGAGATGCAGGTAAAGGACGCCAGCTTAGGAGTTAGGAGTGCCTTTGTTAGGAGTTAGGACGTGTTTGGTTTGCCATATTTGTTTGATCTGTTCTTGGCTTTGCATCTGCTTAGCAATCCACCACGTTCCACGTCGAGCCACCATAGTAAATTCGTGGGCCTTGAACTGATGGGCTATTCTAAGAGAGCTTTCCAGCGGCCAACAACGAACTCGAAGTCCATAACCCGCCCATTATGAAAGCCTCAACCCGGGAGCCTAAACGCAGAGCATCATTAATATAGGCTAAATGTCGACAATACCCTTCCGTGAAACACTCCCAGGGCTGGAATTTCAAAATGGAGGAAAACGGGGTGATGAATCTGCTTTATATATGTTCTAGACTAGATGATTGTGATTGATCATGTTCAGAACCCAAGACTGGATTTCAGATTGTTGGCGACAATGTTAGGGAACTGGATGCTCGAAGTGATACCATCCAATGTTGGACAAGAGTAGTCCAACATCGTCTTATCATTGCCTTCTTTAGTTCCTTCGGCCATGGTGCATTCTGGTACTGCTAATGTAAGCGTCGATATGGGGCCCGTTTTATCTTCGGATCAATGGCAAATTCCGGAGGATGACCTCTTCGCATAAACCAACTCAAATACAGAAGCAAAGAGAAGCACAATCCACAAAGTTCAAGGATGCATAAGCAACAAAATGGTTGAAGTAATAAAATCAATTTGTTCCTAATATTACAGTCCCCTGCGATGGCGCCAAAAACTTGATCGCCTAATTCTAAGTGCGACTACTTAAGGCAAGTGTACATGTCGTAGAGGCAATATAGTGGCAAGCAAGGTCGTATTCCATAAAAACTATGTCTACTAGTACTAAGTTATGTTTCTTAGTATTGATAACACCCAACTGGTGTTATTTGCTCTTTAAAATTAGGTTTTATTGTGCTAATTCATGTGCATAATCGTTGAACAGCGTTGATTCCATCCCTATTTCGTTCCTATTTCATTTTGATGTGATTTTAGGGTGCTATAGACAATACATGCGAATTAGGTACGAAAAAGGACACAAGTGTAACAAAAGGGGCAGAAGAGTGAGGATCACAACCTGGAGATAAAGATCACGGCCGAGAACCAAGGCTGTGAACTCAAGGTGAAGATTGCAACCTGAAATCCCAAGATCACGGTCGCAAATAAGGAGGCTTAACGCCCGAACTTCGTGAAGAATCAGTCGAGGAGAAACAGAGAGTTTCCCCTGTCCGATGAAGGCCATAGTGCAATCTGAGTGCGAGGAAGTTTGCGGCCTTGACTCACAGATCGCGACCATCAAGTCAGCCCGCGAACCCCTCGCGTTTGAAGACCAAAATGGCAGCATCGGGAGATATCGGCCTCCATGAAGAAGATCGTGACCACGATCTTTACCTGCGTGGCCGGGAACTTGTCCATCTTCTGAAGGCTATAAATAGAAGACACATTTTCCCCCCAATTGATAGAGCTGATTTTTATATATAATTTTTGGTTTTAGAAAGAGAGAGAAGAGAGAGAAGCTGAAGGAAGGAGAAGAGAAGAAGGAGGAGGAGCTATGAGAGAAGAGCCATCTTCCTCAAACATGACTTCCCCAACCTCTTCTATAAATCTTATTCCCTCCCTTATGGAGTAGTCCTCTAAGGTACTAGGGGTTCTAACTCCCAAACCCTAGTATTAGGGTTACTATGTAACGAATGGATATTATAGGGTTTTACAGAATGAATGTTTTGTCTAATTGATTTTAATGCTTTCCTAGCTTTGATTGTTTTTAGTTAAGTCGTCATAATCTTCTCTACTAGCCTAGTTGAGCTTCTACGTTGGGGATAGAGTTTTAGGGTTAGACGGATATGCGTCATCAAGCAAATTGAGGTTAGATGTAGACTAGGCTAGGGTGAGGGATAGTTCCCCGAAGTACCTACATTTATCTTTATCTACTCTCTTGACTAGTTAGTTCACTCAAATCCTCCAACATAAACCCTTAAATTGATTGGCTAGATAACAACAACGTGGGAAGTAGACTAGGGTACTGGGACCCGAGTGAATAGGAACTTGATTGCCACTATAAGACAACACCATTTTAGGTTAAACTTGGCTTAGGATGTGGTAGTTGTTAACACGTGCTAACCACTGACAATAATCTACACGGATGAATGTGAACAATTATTTAACCCATATCCTTTCAATTTCGTCAATTAACTAAACTAATGAAGAAGACAATGAAATTCAGCAAAGACAAGATGTGGTTACGAGGAAAACTTGAGTAGAGAAAGCCGTTGGTCAGACTTCGAATCCCCCTAGTTGATTATACCCTTCAATTGATGATGCATAAACTCGATGTCAGATTCTTTGACCATAGGAATTCAGAATTGATGTTAAACCGATATTCTGATATTCTCTCTGACCTAGATTGATTCTCCAAATGGTTATCGCTCTATGATTCTCTCTATTAGGTTTTACCCTTATCCAAAAGTTCATGTCCCTTCATATTCTAATAATTCAAGGTCCTTTTCATCTATGGGTGTTCTATCACATTTGTGGGGATCTTCTCCTCATCATACACATGAAACATACAATCAAGCAATAGGTGCGTAACTAAAGCATACTCGCAATATAATCCATAGAAAAATCAAAGATCATAAAATTCCACATCCATGCTTTCTCAATCAAATCAGTATCATACAACTAGGTTCATCTAATCCAAACAACAGGGAATGATTAGTTCATTGATAGTGGGAAAAAGAACAAAGGATAGAAAGAAGAACTGATTTCCATCATGACAACTTGATCAGATTCTCCAAGATTAAACATTTGGGGTAGACTAGATGGAGAACCTCCTCTCCTCCTCTCTATCTCATTTTTGATCGATTTTAGGGTTTTGTTTCGGACTCCCGCATCAATATGCTTACAGATGCTTAAATAGATAAGGCAGGAGGTCATTCACGGGTGCGGTCACGACCGTGAAGCCACCCATGAACTAAACCCTAGCACGATAATTAATTGATCCGACGTTGCTTTGGGGCAGTCTTCAAGCTTCCTTCACGGCCCAGCATATTGTTATGGAAGTATCCATGAATCGCTCGACAAGAAATTCTTCAGCTAGAATTCTTTCCAATTTTCACAGTGTGGGCCATGGGCGTGAGGCTAGTCGTGGGGAATGTAGTCAAAAACCCAAATTTAATCTTAAAATATAATGGTTTTACGACATTACCTATGGATCTCAATCCTGATTTTACTACTAAATCTATTAACCGTAAAATTCCATAAAATCCAGATTAAAAACTACAAAATCTTTAAAATCAACGATTTATCCGATTTTGTACGATTTCAAAGTTCATGTATATTGAAGAAAAATCACCCCGAAGGTGTTGAATTTCGCTCACGAATTGGTTCAAGTTCACTACCCCCGACTCGGAAAAAAAAATTGATACTCAACTCATTACTTAATGAGTTGGCCTATTAGTAGGTTGAAATTTGGTTTGGTCTGGTTACAACTATAACTGTTTAGTCAGCTAACCATTAAGCAATTGGTAATTACTGTTAACCGCTTTATTTATATTAGTCGGTTTACCGACGAACTATTAACAAGAGATTTGATAAAGTTAGAACGGCTAAATTACACGTTTGGTCACTCAAATTATATAAATTTTTCACGTTTGCCACCTGAATTACTTTTCTTTCTTATTAGCCACTAACTTTACGAATCTTTTCACCGTTAGTCACCGGCCGTTACACTCCGTTAAATTTGTCCTACTTGGCAGTCAACTATAAAGTTTGACCGTTAACTAGATGACGTGGAAATTAAAAAAATTAAGAAAAACAAATAAATTAGTAATTAGAGAGAAAACTAAAAAGTCGGTACCTTTAGCTATTTCTCCGTTTTGCGGATGATCGGCGACGAGCATCCTGATTTCTTTGACGCCCTGATGAGACTCAGTCAATCCACCGAAAACATGGAGCTCCAGACGAACATATGTTCCTTGGCTTCATGATTCGATTTTCCAATGCCACCATTGTTGCTACTCGGGTGTAATGTCGCCCTTGCTCCTGCCACCAGAGTATTGCTCTTCGCTCCCTTTGCCAGAGCTGTTGCCGTGGCGGCGGCGGAAGAGAATTCGGGGCTCAAAGCAGGGTAGTACCCGAATCTCGGAGACACGCCGTAGCCATATTGGCGCAATTCTCCTCGAAATTCGACGGCCAGGGAATCGGCCCGCGGGAGGACTGAACAGAGTACAAATCCGCCGCCCTGAAATTCTAAACCCTCTGACCCTGCCCCGACCCAAACCCCTGGACTCCCATCATCGAATAAAAATCCACCGGATTCAAATTCCAACCCCTGAGAGTCGGATTCCGCGACGAGCTCAGGATGTAAATCTCGGTTCCGGTCAAATTCGACGGGCGAGGGGTCAACCCTGAAAATGACCCGACTCCACCATTCCCGCCGAGCCCCAACCCGGAAACGGACTGCCTCGAAACATTTGATTTCCTCATCTTGACATGAAGCTTCCCATCGTCCTCAATCTCAGCATTCGTCTCCAGCAACTCCCTCTAGTCGAGCGAAACGATGTCATAGTCGACCTTATCGACCCGCCGTTTCGGGGAACTGGTCCATTATCAAAATCTTGGCCCCCCTGTACTCGAACAGGAACAAAGCAGAGTGTACCAAATGATACACTGCAAGATGACGACTTGAACCATCAAACTCCCTGCGGAAGGCCCGTACATGGCGATTAGCACAGGAATTCCCATCACCAAGGGGGTGGGTAAAGTGGAGATTCAGAAAATAGTAATCAATCACTTGAGGCTGCCGGATTTGGTGACATTGATCCTGATTCCGAGGGCGACGAGCATGATGATTTTTCGGGGGGTGCCGGTGGCGATGAATCAGAAGTTCATTGAGGGTCTTTGGTAGAGATGATGAGGTGGAAAAAAATATTATTTTTTTATATTTTTTATTTCCACATCATCTAGTTAACGGTCAACTTTATAGTTGACTGCCACGTAGGACAAATTTAACGGAGTGTAACGGCCGATGACTAATGGTGAAACAATTCGTAAAGTTAGTGGCGAATAAGAAAGAAAAGTAATTCAGGTGGCAAACGTGAAAATTTTGTATAATTTGAGTGACCAAACGTGTAATTTAGCCAAGTTAGAACTAAATAATCAATCGTCAACCAAATCAATCAACAAAAGATCTTTTATTGTATTCATTATGCATTTTATAGAAGCTTTTTAATTTTTATCTTTTAATAACAAACAATTTAACAAAAAAAAAACATTCAAATCATGTGCCTACTTCTCTCATCTTTGGAATGCTTTGGCTTGTAGCAAATTGATCCAACATTATCCCCTCTTGCGTATTTTGCACAAATAATATGCGCTGCCCACACATCAATATGAAGAAGCGACTGCCTAAAATGCAGACTACGTGGTAATTGTACCCACATTCTTTGAACTTCCCAATCCTGCTCGTTTTTCATGGAAAAAATCTTGGCAGCATCCTAGGATGCAGCCAGTAGCTGCTACCGTTCCACATGGCTGATAATTATTGGTTACAAATTTCTTTTTACTTTTAATTATTAACTGAATCACTAAATGTCGCCCTAAGAATTGCTAAACGTCTCCCTAGCTAAAATATAAAATTACCTATATGCCCTTAAGCAAAAACTCAAAACAAACAAGCCCTTGTTGCAAATTCAAATTCATTCCCCCTCCCCCCTCAACTCCTCTCTCACCTCTGCAACTCCCCTCAACCGCCGGCCACCTGTCTCCCCTCAACGTCGGCGACGCCAGCCCGCCGCCGCCCGTCCCCTCCCGCGCTTTGGTCGCGGTCAGGCCTTTTTTTTAAATGATTTTTTTTTAATTTTGTGTTTTTATTAGTCGATAAATGTTAATAATAATATAAATAATAAAAAATAAATGTTAATAATAATAAAACACTTAATACTTAATAAAAATAATTAGTTATATATTTTGTCAATAATGATATAAATGTTTTTTAAAAACGTATTCGATAAATGTTAATTAATGATAACAAATTTAAAGAACATTATAAAAAAATTAAAAATGTGTTTTCATCATTTTAATAATCAAAATTTCAAAGTAATTTGTTTATCTACTTAATTATTAATAATTTTACCTTGATTAATTATTTACTTTTATATAAATAATTATTACATAGAACGTAACATAAATGTTAAAACTATTAGTTTTATAATTTTAATTATGAAAATCTTAAATTAATTACTTTATGTACTCCATTATTAATGATTCAAACTTTTTTTTGAAGATGTCTGGACATGGAATGGGTAAACCGGATATGATTAAGGCGAGAAATAAGGAGAGAATGGAAGGTCGTGCTTGTAGACTTACGGCGACTGGTAGGAAGGAAAATGAAGAAAAAAATCCACCTAGAAGGAAGAAGAAGAAGGCGGATGTAGTGCGTCCTGACGGCCACCCTACTGTGGGGCAGTTGTCTCTTAGTCGAGGTACTACCAGTACTCCTACACCAGAGAGCGCACCGGTATGGCAGGCTAATTGGAGTGATTCCATTAACGAGGATGATGATGATGACGGTGATGCTGAGGTTGGGAATGCCCCAGATGTTGGTGATGATGCTGCTGATGATGCTGGTGATGCTGCTGGTGATGATGCTGCTGATGATGCTGGTGATGCTGTTGGTGATGATGCTGTTGATGATGCTGGTGATGCTGCTGGTGATGTTGAGGTTGGGGATGGCCCACCTCAAGCTGATTTAGGCGTGGGGAAGATGGCTCGGGTCGGGATATCTTCTACTGCCTCCTCCCACTTCCGTGGGCCCGATGGACGATATGCGTCCAGACCTAGTAGCGAGGATGGCGGAGATGGAAATAGGAAGAGGAAGACCACGAGGAAAGATATGCCGTGGTTTCTTACAGCCGAGTCTCCGATGTGTTCAGGTGGACCAGTGATTCCCGATGAGATCCCTAGCTTTGGAGGTCACATTGGCTTTGTATTGTGGAATTCCCCTGAGCAGGACCGTGGAGCGTTGGACGGCTTCCATAGGCCGAGAGCTGTAGAGACTTTGAGGCGATATAAGTGGAGTGCAGAGGGTTCCAAGGAGATGGTTGAAGCCACAGGATTGTCCCACTTGACAGGGTGCATGATGCAGCATTTAGACATAGCTCTACTGTCGGCATTTGTGGAGAGGTGGCAGCCGGACACAAACACCTTCCACATGCCGTTTGGAGAGTTTTCGATCCTTCTACACGATGTGCATCACATTCTTCGGATACCGGTTGACGGAGAGCTGATGGGAGATTAGGCGTCTCAGGATACTCTTAATTCAGACATGGGTGGTCTAGTTCGACTTTCGGTGGATGCTCAGGTTGGTGGTAAGTGGAAGTCTAAGTGGTACGATAATTGTGCTATGCATGCAGAGGGATTGTTGGTGCGTGGGGGAGAGCTGAAGATTAAGGAGATTGAGGTGCAGTGTTACCTATTTGTGTTACTGGGATCCACGCTTTTTGTGGATAAGAGTCGTGATCGCCTTCGTCCTGCGATCAACTTGTTTCTGAAGGATCATCGACGATTGACTGATTACGCTTGGGGAGCTGGTGCACTAGCCTATCTCTACAGACAGTTGGGAGTGGCCACACGAGCGGGTAGTAAGGGTCTTTGTGGTTGTTTGACCCTGCTTCAGGCTTGGATATATGAGTACTTTCCTCTATTCCGTCCGAGCCAGCTGCCGCAGTCTCCGGATGCACCTCGTGCTTCCTCGTGGATTTCTCCCCGTTTGCCAGATGGGGATGAGGCTAGACAGAGGTTAGCACGTTATCGACAGTTGTTGGATGAGCTTTCAGCTGATGATGTGACCTGGACTCCGTACGGATGAGATGGCCACACAGATATACCCCGCTCCTTGTATACTGGCCCCATTCGCTTTTCTGACATTGCTGAGGGATACGATCGTGCACGTTGTCTGCGCCAGTTTGGATACCGACAGATTATCCCCCGTGCTATGACGGTACCACATGACCAGTACCGCCCGGCTTCCAACAGCAGTTACATAGTCTTTTGGGATCCGTGGGTGAATCAGTTGTGGGATAACGTGGCAGCCCGTCGTCTAGATTTGGATTTTGCTTCTCGGCCGTGCGAGCACCCATCGGAGATCGTGGAGGAGTACGTTGACTGGTTTCTGACTAGATCGCACCCACGGATCACCCACCCCACTGATGGGGTGCCTCAGCCTCGACCACTACTAGTTCATCAGGTTAGTTATGACTTTCTTTTGCTTTTCCAAATATAAAGAACATTTGTTATTTATTCTAACATTGTTTTCTATTTACAGTTGAGAGAGCAGATTGTGGATGGTTTAGGTCCCGTGTTGCTGACGAGGGACCGGAGTAAGTGGGAGGAGGACGGTGGTAAGTTCTATGATATGGTAGCTGGGGTTTTCGAGTTGTACGACCAGTTGGTAGGGCAGCCGCCTCAGTAGACGATTGTGTTTTTTATTTGTCATCGTTTGTAGTTGAACTGAGACTATTGTGTTTTTTATTTGTCATCATTTGTAGTTGAACTGAGACTATTGTGTTTTTTATTTGTCATCGTTTGTAGTTGAACTGAGACGATTGTGCTTTTTATTTGTCATCGTTTGTAGTTGAATTGAGACGGTTGTGTTTTTTTTACTTTAGTTATATTCAATGCATTGCTAAAATAGTTAATCAACATGGTAGATTACTAAATGTTTCAACAATAGAGAGTTATACAATTCGTAAATATACTTCCAATCTTCATCCCCGTGGGTTCAATCTATCATAAAGCGTACGCTCATGTAAGAATAATTGATCCCACCCATTGACACTAGGGTCATGAAAAATAGGCCAAATGCCATTAATTGGAGGCATGGGCACTTGACCATGTCGAAAGTCAAGTCGCACCCAATGATCCCCCGTAAAATGTAGTGATAAGAGCCCACGTGGTCTTGTTACTCCTGGTGGGGCCGTTACAGGTAGCACGGTATAACGACCACCTTGACTGTATACAACGATGGCCCATGAACGCAAGGTGGCGAAGACGAAGAGTTCCGCATTATCCATCCAGTTGGGAGGTCCACAGCCACTTGTTGATGCCTATCTGCGACGTCGAATGTCATTTTCTATTCCATTTGCTATTCCATCATAGTAGTCTCTATAAAGCTCAAGACGGGATTCAAGCTCCTCTAGAACAGCGCGTCTCATTTGTGGCCAATTCCTTTGGTCCCCAGTAACTGCTTGTGATATAGCTCGAAATCCACAGTGTCCATCTGGAATAGGGTTTAACCAACCACGAACTAGTCGTTGCACGTAGGATTCCAAACAATATAGCCATGGGTAATTCTTCCAACTAGTATTGGGAATCCGAGCAACCCTCCACGGGGCACCATCTAGCCAAAGAGCATAACACAATAAATTAATACAAAGAGTTATACAATATGTTTACCCGAAATTAGGAATATAATTTCTAACCTGTATCATTATGGATCACCGGCTCCGTCCCATTCTCGAAGTTGGTTTGTGGATTCCCATTTGGTGCACCATCTAGATGAAGAACATAATAGAATAAATTAATACAAAGAGTTACACTATATGTTTACCCGAAATTAGGAATATAATTTCTAACCTGTATCATTATGGATCAACTCCGTCTCATTCTCTAAGTTGGTTTGTGCATTCACATTTGGAGCACCACCTATCTCATTTAAAAAAATAGATTAGTTGTACACCATATTGAGGACAATTGAACACAACTAATAGAAAAAGTTAATCTACCTGTATTTCCATCATTGTCCGGAGTTGCAGTCGGAAGTCTTGAACTTCTCCTCCCTCGTCTCCTCTCCACATGCTCGAAGTGAGATAGGTTTCGAGTGGTGGACGTCCTTGGGCGACCGGGGCGAGGCTGTCCCCCATGCGGTTCATCAATGCCATCGTTTTCAGGATGAAGATGGCTCCGGAGTAGACCGATTGCACCTCGAATGGTCTCGTCACCTCTATCAAGAACCTCCTGTACTAGACCTTGGAACACACCACGGTGGTAATCACTATGGTCATCCCACTCCGGTCGAGTAGGAGGTTCACGATAGTTGATAACGGTCCAGAATGGCAACACATCATACAAGGCGAAATCCCGATTTTCACGTCGTGCTAACTGAATGGAACATCTACATTGGAGACCATAGGTAGGAGGAAACGTACATGTACAAGGTTCCCCTTCCACTGCTACCTCGAACAACATCAACCTCAGAGCTTCTAGAGTGACTTTCGTATTCAACTCTCAAAATGGCTTTCCATCCGCTGGTGCTAATTAGGAGACTACTAAAACTTATGTGTGTATCAATGAAGATTTATTAGGAGACTAACCGTGTCGACTGTGCCAGTAGATGATTGAAGCCACTTCTTGAAGGAGGAATGGGCAGCTTCAACCCTATTAGAGCTTGTGTTACCCAAATGCCGCAGTTGATTGGTATAACATTTAGCCCACATGTGTCTAACTGGTAACCACTCAGCTGTCATATACCCCCAAAGACGTCGGTACTGTACTCCCCAACTACGTCTGAAATTGTCTAAGGCAGTATCCATGTCTTCCACTGTCAATGCATATACAGCACGTTGCCAAGACGCCATGATATGATCCACTGTCGGTTTGGCTGCATCTATACCACAATGAGTCGTCCTTCGCACCTCCGCTAGACACTTTTCTCTCACATTCCTATCCATATGCCAAAGACATAATATATGAGTCGATGATGGAAACATTACCCCCACGGTCTCAACCAATCCTCATGCCTTGTCACTGACAAACACATCTGGAACAATGGGGCCAAGAAGATGTTGCAAATGCGTCAGAAGCCACTGGTACGACTCCTTCGTCTCGTCGTACACTATTGCAGATGCAATGACAAAGTTCAATCCCACTGGTGTCATGCCGACAATCTCAACCCGAGGCATATCATACTTATTGGTCTTGTATGTTGCATCTATCACGATCACATGGTGCCAAGCTCCCAACATCACTATTGACTCGGGGTGGGCTAGGAACAAGTGTATAAGCACGTTACGATCGTCCATATACTGCACATAGTAACCCTTCTCCTGCGCCATGCGGAAAGTATACTGTAAGGCTGTCATCTGACCAAGCTCTTCTTTCCTTATCTTGTGACACTTGTTATAAATCTGCTTTCTGTTGTGTGTTCCATTTGCACCTTTTCTGTCATTCACTGCCTTGTGGATATTCCTTGGTGGGACACCGGCTGATCTCAGCTCTCTGATGTATGGCTTATCCTCTGTAGTCAAAACATTCCTTCCCTTTGATCCCTCCGGAAATAGCTCCAACTGATGATTGTGGAAACCCAAATTAGCACCAGGATTCTTTGTATTTGCCACCCCTAGGATCAACCAATATCCATCACCGGACCGCTCAAGCTTGATCTGAAACTCGCACCCCAACTTTTCAGTAGATGTAAGAGGCCTCCTTTCCTTACTCGGATCAGGTTCCTTCGACTTCTTCTTCCTACCATGAGTGCAATTTAAGTGATGTCGCCAAGTACCTTCATTTTTTTTTTTTGTTCGATGCCCTCACCAAATAAAACCCAAAACCCTTGGCAATCTCAGTAGCTGCTTCATATGCTTGCAACTCCGTAGTGTATTTCACGCCATCAATGAAATCCGAGGTGTAATCACGGCCATCCGGACTGTAACTTCCAATATCTTGCAATGTTATCAGAATTTATAAGTGATACCCCGCAAATTTAAAAAAAAAACTTAACATTCTATATCGACAATTTAATGTGTACCATATGATAAATTTAAAATTTCATAACTATATTAAATTTAATAATCATCATAACATCATATGCGAATCTATTATTTATGCAATAAATTTAATCTTAATTTGTAATGCAAAATCTAATCTTAATTTTCTAGATTAGGACCAAATTAAATCTAATCTTAATTTAAGGCCAAATCTAATCTTAATTTCTAATGCTAAATCCTTCAATTCCAAAAATAATAATGCAAATAAATCTAAAAAATTATATAAATCAAAATCCAACAAATTATTTCATGGAACAAATCATAAATCATATAAAAAATAGAAAATTATTCAACGAAAAAAAAACCCAAAAAATGCCCAACCGCAGGTGATTTGCGGTCCAGCCATGGTCCAACCGCAGGTCACTTGCGGTTGAACCATGGTCGAACCGCAAGTGACCCGCGGTTCCCATTTTCTGTGTTTTTTTTCAGTTCATGTTTTTACCTCGTCGGAGTCGCTACTCATGATTCAGACGTCCTACCGACGATATCGGCTTCAAAATGACAATGATGGATTTTTCTCTCCTTAGATAGTGTTTTATTAGTCCAAGTGATGTTTGTTTGAGGAAGGGAAGGTAAAGAAGCTAAGGGGGTTAAAAGTGTAACTTTGATTCTTTTTAGGGCGACCTTTAGCAATTTTAAGGGCGACTTTTAGCAACTTTGATTGTTTTTGGTTAAGTCGTCATAATCTTCTCTACTAGCCTAGTTGAGCTTCTACATTGGGGATGGAGTTTTAGGGTTAGACGGATATGCGTCATCAAGCAAATTGAGGTTAGATGTATGAATAGGATCTTATGGTGGACGAGGCAACCATACCCTTGCCATAGTAATGCTTTCCTAGATAGAACCCGAGATAAAACCTCGGTGTGGGCAGTGGGTAGTACCCATTGAAATTAGCTATGACCTTAATGCCCCATATACGGTAGCCTAGATCGAGGTGACTGGCATGGGTTTAGGGGAGGCATACTTGGAGGCGGGTGGATAACCAAAAAAGCCTATTTATCTAGACATTGTATAGTAGTCCTAGGCTAGGGTGAGGGATAGTTCA